ATTATTTATTATTATTATGCGCTTCACTGCCGCACGCAAGAGACCCAAGTTCGAATCCAGAGTGGAAAGAATTTGATGGAGTACCTCGGTCTTTCTGCATGCTGGGATGTTGTATCCCTCTCAGCTTCAGGTTGGTCAAAACAGACAGGGTTGAAGCCCATCTCCTAAAGAATCTAAATTATATGGATGGGGGCGTTAAACACCCGCTTTAAAAAAAAATCAAAACTTCTACTGCATTTTAAAGACTTCAACGTAGGTCTTGTATCTTTTCTACGGTATCAAAACATCAATTTTGATTAGATACAAATTCGGTTCAAAAATAATCTAAACCCAGCTGATCGCAGATAAAAAACAAATCAGTACTGACATACACAAAGAAAGACACAAAAACAATGATCAACACACAATTAGCACAGATCAATACAGACTGACACATAAATACATACATAAACGTGGATCAACATTATAAATAGACCGAGATAAACACACGCAAATACAGGTGGTCATACGTTAACAAATATATCAATGCACATAAACAAAAAGCATCTCATATCTATCACACTTTCACGAAAACAAAAATTGATTCAAAGTAACACAACGAAGCAGACCTAAGACGCTCTAGCAAGTAATTTTATTGCATTATTATGATTAGCAATATCTGATTACGTTTACAGACGGACAGATCCCTCACGAGTTATTCAGTCTCAATTTAATAATTATTCACCTAGTTTTCTTATTATATTTGTCCAAATTTATAAGTTGTAGCGTTCTTAATTTAGCGCATTTTAGCTAAATTTTCTGGCACGTTATTATATCACAACTTGTGTTCATGATTTTCACAAAGAATGCCTAGTTCTATATTGATAGAAAACTAACAAAAAAAGAATTCATGGAGTCCGTGCACAGAGGTGTATATTAATCATCTTTCTAACAAATGGGGCATCCTGTTTTCAGTCTTTAATTTATCTCGACAACTTTTGACCACAAAAAAAATTCTTTTTGAAATTAGAAGTAGACAACAGGGTCAAATGTGTGCCACAAAGTTAAAAAACAAAAGAGAAAGGGCTTGAGAAAAGTGACGTCATCCTTGCTGTGGTTTGACCAGTGGAAGGGGAGGCCATCCAGGAAATGAACAGCTCCTCAGATGTCACAGATTTGCAGCCTCCATCGGCGATCTCCGGTAGTGGAGCTTTGTGAGAAAAGAATTGAGGTCAACAAAACTTTATTCGTGAGGCAGCGTGGTGGAATCAGGCTCTCGTCAAAATAATCAAAGTGAAGAAACTTCCCTTTTCCGACGGTTTTGTGAATTTTTATCAAATTTTTGTTTTTTGGCTTAACACCTTTCATGCCCATTAAAGAACCCATTTCTGTGTGGATTTTTCTGAAAAACGTTGATTAAAGGTACAAAAAACGTAAATTTTCAGTTACCATGGACTCTTAAGCTAAGGAAATAACTAATCTTTGGCGGCCATTTTCTTACTAATTTTACCTATGAAAATAGGTGACCCCCACCTCCTTCTTTTGCAAATATCTCGACTTGTATTCAAGATAAATGGATATTTTTTATTCAAATAAAGACAAATGAACAAGCTTTAAGATGATACCAATAACTCTTCATGCCCAAAAATTGACGAGAGCCTGATTCCACCACGCTGCCTCACATTTGTTTGGCTATTAAATAATTATATAAAATTTAGGTGAATGAAATTTTTGTTTGTTGGGACATTTGAGTAAAGTATTGAGGTCGACGAAACTTTATAATTTGTTTTGCTAGATCTACTTACGATAGAGATTTAGGTGAATTAAAATGTGTTTGTTAGGATGTTGGAAAAAGAGAACTGAGGGGAATCAAATTGTATCTATTAAACAACATAGAAAAGGAAATTCATGTGAAATTTGGTCTGTTTGTTGAAGAAAGGGAATTGAGGTCAATGAAACTGTATTTATTGCTGGACTCTTTGTAGTCGAGAGGGATACAACGTCTTAGCATACAGAAAGAGCTGCTCGATACAAGCCCTCCCACTCGGGAATCGAACTCAAGTCTTCTGGAGAGCCTAACCGCTATGCCATAGACGCTAGTATAACAATATTGTACCGTTCCCTTGTCAGACCCAGTGATTATAAATAAATACGGTCTCTGGTCGAAGCCACACAATGCTATAATTTTAATTTACGTACGGCGCGTTGTCAAAGTGGGTAATGCTGACGTATGTTGTATAACGGTTAGGTGCTTCGCCGTCACACACTGAAGATATAAGTTCGATTCCCGGGGTGAGGAGAGGCGTTTTGTTGTTGTGTTTTCTCTATCGACACGTATCTCCGTCTGTCTGATGGGACCTCGTATCCCTCCCAGTGCGGGTTGGCCATGACAGACGGGTTCAAGGCAGGCTGCACTTACAATTACAATAAACATATAATACCAGTTGATACACCCCTTTCTTGTTTCTTACGATCCAAAATCTACTGCTCTTTAATTCTCAAAAATGAAGTCGAATTGGTAGGAGTCTTTTACAAAATTACTTTGATCGTAAAGGACTCGCCCGCAACAAAGATTGGATCTAACAGAGAGGGTCGACACAGTCGGTCCCCCCATAATGATCTATTTTGTGTCGGTGGGGATGTAAAACACGGATAATTATTTTTTGTATAAGCAAGTAATAATGGTAAAAGTGTTACGTACTTTCCTCCCTCATTTACAATGAGGCTGTGGAGTCCAGTGATCACCCTCCCTTTTGGAAGTTCCCAGTTCAAATCTTCGTCACAGCCGTTGATCCACGGGGTGATATTACAGTTTTGTGGAGTTTTGTCTGGGAAAAAAACAAGTTTATTATACCAATTTCTCGACCTGTATCCATTAAAGTATTATTTAGCACGAGCTTCAGTAAGTTTTGTTATCAGACCATACCAAATAACATTACTTTTATTGGCCTTGACCTTTACTAAGGAGAGATCTTTTGGTTGTCGCTCAGGTGTGTGTTCATCAACAATGCAATGATGATGATGATGATGATGATGATGATGATGATGATGATGATGATGATGAT